AATCCCATTCGGGACTGTCAGCCTGTGCCTGGAGATGGGCTTGGAATGTGACAGTTCGGGACCCTCGTGGGTACCGAAGGTCAGAGCTCAGCTTGTATGGGGTTTGATTTGAGCCTCAGACTAAACAAGGATCTGCTCAAAGCTCATACAGTCCACTGGCATGAGGACATTATAAAATGTGTATACTTTCGTTGTGGTAAATTAACTATTTCCAGTTATTTCGCAATACAATGTTTAAAAGCTCCGGCCACATTTGTCCAGCAGAGAGATGTAGGACTATGGGTAGGATGCAGGCTGTCTTCTATAGCTGTAGGACTGTGGGCGATAAGAAGCTTGGAATGAGCGTGGGAGTGCTTGACTTTTGGGTCCGCCATGCTTTCCCATCTTCTAGCTGCATATCCTAGGACATTTTCTCTATCAGAGCCTTTTATCTATTAAAATGGATATAATAATGCCACTGTGGGGTTGAGTATGATTATGTGTTAATTGCCTACATGCAATGGGTACTGATAACTTATGATTTCTAGGAAAGAAAGTATTTTGGTCTGGCATGTTTCAGGGAGGCCCTGGGGAAAAGCTGATGTAACCTGAGCCTTGGAGCCTCTGTGGGATTTACACACAGAATTGACCTTGTGGTATGAGTAGGGAGCTAAGCCCTGTTGACCACAGGCCATGTGCTGAGCACAAGCTGAGTAGTTGACATATAGTGTCTCCCTTGATTCCAGCTGTCAAGCCAAAGAGCTTCAGCCCTCTGTCCTTAGCTTTAAGCCTTCTAAAGAGCCAGCGTGATATGAAGAATAAACACAGGGTCAGGATTCTGTATAGTTGTGAGCTAGCTGGGAACTTTGGAGCCCCTTCCCTGAATCTGCTCCCTCCTCAAAGTGTCTCTTTTTATAATCAAGGGTTAGTAGCTGGGCTTTGGCTTGTGTAGGGGAGTCATTGCTCTAGCGCTTTAGCAGATCTGGCAGTCAGAGGCCCTGGCAACAGCCAGCCAAACCATGGGGAGAGAAGTTCTGAGAACAAGCTGGCAAACTGCAGCTCACGCCTAGCTAGGAAGAGCATGGTCTTCTATTATGTGGCCTGTAGTAATTCAGTAATGTGGCACCTTGTGTAGCTTCTTCGTGGATGCTCACAGCACATCTTATGACCTCCTTGGTGAAGCCTCTCATCCTCCTCCTGGATTAGACACTCCCATTCCAGTCTCCTATAGCAGAGACCAACTTCCAATAGAGAGAGATCTTAGCAAAGAACTCTTGGGGTACATGACTCATATGTACTCTGACTACAGTTGGTGGGCAAGGAGCCATGCCTGTGTCATACCTCCTCTTCATGGCACAGGACTGGCACATAGTAGGTCTCTGTAATGCTTGTGGTTAAATGAGTCAGTGGCTTTTTTTTATTTACTTGCTTTGATCCTTGTTTTACAAGCTGTCAGGTTTAGAAAGAGACTGTTTTCTTTCATGGCTAAGGAGGGCCCTGGTTTAGATGGATGATGCCCTCCTCACAGACATCAGAGGCACAAAGGTGCAGGAATTCTTCATGAACCAAGATTCTTCATTGCTGTTATTGATTTCAGGCCCTGGTCTTGCTATTGTTGAGTTTAGTTGCGAAAGAAGTTGTGATGTGTTCAGGGACCTGTATAGTATGTGATATAGTTCATGAAGGAAAGCTCACAGGTGGCTGACTAATCAATTGTTCTGCCCTTGGCCTTGGTAAACAGTAGTCCCTTCCATGTGGGACCAGCAGCTACAAATTCATATTTTTCCTTGCCAACAGCACCAGCATATGGAACAGAAAGTTCTTTGTTGATCTCGTGTGTGTGTGTGTGTGTGTGTGTGTGTGTGTGTGTGTGTGTGTGTGTGTGTGTGTGTGTTCTTGAAGGCAGAAGGAGCACAGGAACTATCTGGTACTACTACCGTCATCTTATGGATAGGGAAAAACTGGACCTAGATTACACAAGGACTCAGTCAAGGATAGAGAATTCTAGAAGTGAAATGTCCAGACACTTGTTTTTCCCAATTCTGCTCCAGTGAATTAATTAATTAATTTGAGACAGCTTCTCACCATGTGTCTCTGACTGGCCTGGAACTCAGTATGTACACCTACCTCTGCCTCCCACAGGCTGAGGTTAAAACCACCATCACCACCTCTGGCCTTATTTGTGTTTTTAAATTAAGTACATGTGCACATGAGTGCAGGTTCCCATGGAGACTGGAAGAGGGTGTTGGATTCTCTGGAGCTGACATTAAAGGTTCCAACATGAGTGTTGGGAACTAAACTCAGTCCCTTTCAAGAGCAGCACCTGCCCTTAACTTCTGAGCCATCTTTCTGGCTCTCTACTAAATAAAAGAAAAAAACTTAGTTAATTTAACTCTTTGAGATGGAATCTCTCTGTGATGCCTAGGCTGGCCTCTGATTACTAAGCTCAACTGATTACTCTGCCTGTGAGGCCTTCCAAGTAGCTCTACATGGTTGATAAAGCTAACGCTTATCTACTTACTATGGGCTAGACTGTAGTTTTGAGTATCTTAAACTATTTTATAGACTCAGAAACCAAGGCAGCTAGGAATCATTCCCATCTTTTTCTAATCCTATAGTTCTGTGTTTTTAGTATGGTTGTCGTGGCAATCACCAACCCAATTGAGTGAGCAGTTCTCTAGAGAGCTTGCTCCTGGAGCCCTCTTCCTCTGGGAGTGAAAGCCATCTTTCCAGCAGTGTCTCCCTGGACACTGAAGAGCTGTCCCAAGAGAAGTCCGTGATGTGCCAGAAGAATGAGCAAAGGAATGAAGGAAGTCCACATGAGTACTTAGTTTGAGAATATGAATGTACTTACAGAACTCCCTGTTGGGCTGGTACTGTAGCTCAATGGTAGATCCCTGGCCTGGCATTCACAAGGCTCCAACTTTGATGCCCAGGAACACAAAAATTGTCTGTCTGTTATAAAGCAGTAAAATGCATAGTTTTAGGGGAAACTCAGTTCTGGATCTTTCAATAAAGATTCCCAGTGTGCCATGGAGAGATTCTATTTAGCAACACATAGGAAACTTCTGCTGTGAACGAGCCTCTGGAATTGAGAAACACACACATTAGGGATGACAACATTTTTTTTTCCCCTGCTATAAGTAATTGTCTCCTTGAAGCCTTCTCCCTCACGTATAGTTAGGAAGATGGATCAGTACGTAAATAACTGAAATGAGATTGACTTGGGTAAATGAAGTGAGGAATGTAAACCAAGTGGGAGTTTGGGAGGAGGAGAAGTCAATTCCTACATGACTGGATTCCTGAAGGCAGAGAAGCAAAGCTGGAACATGGAGGGCATTCATTCCTGGGAGAAAGGGCAGTAATGTTTGGAAGGGGACACACACACATGAGGGCACAGGCACACTGAGGAAGAGCAGGGGTTCCGCTGATGTGGGGAGAGACAGAGGCTACCATTCATCAAGTGTCTGCTTTGTGGCCGGCCGTGAGCCACATAGTCTGCACACTATAATTTACTTAATCCTCACAACCTCTGTAATAAAGGGATATTTATCCCCAATTTAAAGACTAGGAAACCAGACATCAGAAAGATTAAAGTAGCTTCTGTAAGGTCGGATATAGCTAGTAAGCTGACAGCATGGTTCAGACCCACCTAGGAGGGCTGAGTTCAAAGGCTCCTGTTTCCATTATGCTGTAGGGCTCTAGATGCCATGATGAGGCCACGCTGATTGTGGCTGTGGGACAGAGGCTCTCTGGAACAAAGAAGTGTCCAGAATAGGGACATGCATGAAGAAGCTTCAGCTGTAAAGTACCAGAGATACATGATCTAAGTCTGCTTGTGCAGGTTGTGTGAACCTATGGCAGCTGTCACAATGCTGTCAATCAGTGCATCTCTGTCCTTAGCGCCTGTGATCTTAGACTGAGTTTATAGAGACTGTAGGCACCCTTGGATTTCGGGTATAGATCCTGAGGTAAAATTGACATAATGCTTCATTTTTTCACCATCAAGTGAAACAAGAATCTGTATGGAAAGAGCTGGAGCCAGGAGTCTGGCCTTTGGTCCGGATATCACTCATTCCCCCATCGTGTTTCTCAGCCTCCTTCCCCAGGATAAAGGGTTTGGGCTCACTTGACAGGTCTTCTCTTTTGCCAATGCTCTCTCTGCCTGAGACTGTCTAAAGATAAAGTAGAGAGGATGAACATGGACTCAGAAAGAAGGGTTTAAACTTCCTGTGGGGAAGCTGTAGGTCAGATACAAACTTTAAATCAGACTGCCTGGGTTTGAATTCTGCCTCTGTTACTGGCTAGCTGTATGACTTGGACAAGTTGTTTAACTCTGCCTAGTTTCAGATTTCTTCATCTGGAAAATGGGGTACAGATATTCCCTACCTTGTGGGGCTGCTATAAGAAGTAAAATCACATTAAGCAGCTCAGTGACCAGCAGAGAGTAGATGCTTAGTGAACAATAGTTGTATCAGTAACAATATTAGTAATTGCATTAATACCCCATTTGGTACAAATTTCATAGGAAGTGTATTTATTAGGGCCACTTTCCCTACTGTGACATTGCTCTTTTCTCTTTTTGTAGGGGAAGCTGTAGCCACACCTTCTTCGGGGCTGGCTACAGGATACCTGGACAGGCTTGTGAGGGCATGGTCAGAGTGAGTAGGGGGTCTGTGTTTTGGTTTTGGTTTTTCTTTGCTTCTTGTTGTATAGACTACGACCGGCTGGCTGGTTCGCTCTGTAAGTAAGGCTTTTTCCTATTAAATACCCTTATATTTCTACCTGACTCCGTATTGGTAATTTCCTACTATATCTTTTCATTGCCTCATCAAGAAACTTAGAAATGCCCTAGGTGGGGTCAGGCGTTGGTGGCGCACGCCTTTAATCCCAGCACTCGGGAGGCAGAGGCATGTGGATCTCTGTGAGTTCGAGGCCAGCCTGGTCTCCAGAGTGAGTGCCAGGATAGGCTCCAACGCTACACAGAGAAACCCTGTCTCGAAAAACCAAAAAAAAAAAAGAAAAAGAAAAAGAAAGAAAGAAAGAAAAGAAAAAAAGAAATGCCCTGGGTGATTCTATCACAGGGTTCCAAAGCATGACACCACTTAAAGTACTTCGTGGGAAACAGTCAATAAAAAAAGCCAGTGGCTTGAGTTTATAGAGGCTGAAAATCTCACCTGACTCATGTTTTCCACACCTCTCTCCACAGTAAACAGGACCAGAGCAGGTGTTCATTTCCTTTTGCACAGCCTTCAGCAAAAGCACCAAGCAAGGCCTCTTCAGTTCACTTGCCAAAAAGAACAACAGTATGGTGTCTCCAGAAAGTGGTGTCTAATTTAGCTCCTCCCATCTTAAACCCCTCCAGCCTTAACTTAAGCGAGTTCTTATTGTTCTGCTTTCCATGAATATGGAAAAGTTCCTACTGATTATAAAGGGGGGATGAGATCAAGATTTTCTCATGAGAGCCTTTTCTGTACTTAAAGCCAGAATCCAGTTAGGCCTCATCTTTGCTTTGCCAGGCAACACCGCCTGGCTGCTTTCACCTCATCCGCAAAACCTATTTTCCGTCACTTGGATCACATTGGTTATGCTTCTTTTCTTTCCCTGAGGTTTTCCCTCTTCCTGGCGGTGACCCAAAACTGTGCTCAGCCTGCAAATAAGAGTCCAGCTAAAACAGTTTAAGGGGAGAATGCTTCAGAAGTCTCGTTGATTCATTAAGCAACAGCCCTGTGCTAAGTAGAGGAACCAAGAGCTGATGCAGGTTAGTCCACTCTGTCCCTGGCTCGGCCTAAGGGGAGACCATGATAACTCATCACAGGTATTCTGGGTGAGTTATACATCCTTGGGGGAAGCTGGAAATAATTTAGAGCAGTCAGGTAGAAGCAGCCCTTTGGCCCTGTGGCTGAACTGCAGGTAAAGACTTCAGGAAAAGAACGGAAGCATGGTGTCGGAAAGCCGATATGGGCAGTGCGGGGGAGGCCTGACTCACCCCAGCAGAGGCAGTGGCACCTGTCAGTCATCTAGCAAAGGCATGGTAAGCTCAGGTCTGGCTTTGGGGATTAAGAGTGGGAATGCCATAAACCTTAGCCTTTTCTGTGTCCTCCTATGCTCTCTGTCTTGAAAGTCAAATGATAGGTCCCTCGCTTCCTGTGAGTCTCTAGGCCTTGGTGAAGAGGGAAAGTGTTCCAAAGGAATAGGAATGGTGACAGAACAATCAGGCTAACTGGGCCCTTAGACTCCTGTGTGTATATCTAAAACCTCGCCTCTGCTTTTGGCCACTGCTCACACCACGTTCTTTCTTGCTGTCCAGATGTAGTTTCTACAATGTCTAGGTTGCTTTCCAGAGCTGTGGTGGACATGGGGAAGCTATCTCACAGGTATAATAATGGGAGTTATGGAGTACCTCTTAAATGTCAGGCATTGCTGTCCCAAGTTTGATATATACACTCTAATTCTTACATATGTTATTGCTCCTACTTTGTAGATGATGACAGTGAAAACGTCTTAAGGAGTATGTCCAGTGCTGCCTTGCCAGTAGATGTCAGGGCCAGAAGCTAAATCTAGAATCTAATATTTGAAAGTCTATATGCTTTCTACTTCCTCAGCCCTAGAGTGACTCCAAATGTCTGGGTAATACAAAGTCTGTAATGGAATTCTTGTGTGTTTTTTTTTTAATTAAAAAGAAAATTATTTTACATGTCAATCCCAGGTCCCTCTCCCTCCCCTCCTCCCCTGCCCCCCACAACTAATGCCCTACCCATTCGA